TTTGATTCTATGATTCTATGATTCTATGACTGGACTTAATGTCAGGGGACAACCTTTACCTATGATCATCTCACACCAGCAGCGATTTAGAACATCATTTCTGGCGTGAGATGATTGTATTATTATTAATCAGACTACAAACAGAGGCACAACTCTGTGGCCCAAATGATTCATTGGAATTTACATCACAAGTACCACCTGCCGGTAGTAAAGAACTGGTGGGATCATATACCTGCAAAGGTTGTGGAAAATGAACACACAAAAACACTGCCAAGAAGCAGGAAAATCACATTCAAAGCACCCATGACAGATGGCCATCCAGCCTCCAAAGAAGGAGCCTCCACCACACTCTGGGGCAGAGAGTTCCACTGCTGAACAGCTCTCACAGTCAGGAAGTTCTTCCTAATGTTCAGGTGGAATCTCCTTTCCTGTAGTTTGACGCCATTGTTCCATGTCCTCCAGGGCAGCAGAAATCAATCCTGCTCCCTCCTTCCTATGACTTCCTCTCACATATTTATATGTTCTGTTTTCCAGGAGCATAGTTTGCATTACCTTTTAGTTGCATGGGATAGTGTTCTTTTGCATTTCCCCAGACCCAGCAGCACCCTGGAAGTTAAACAGTATCAGAGTCTGCAAAGCCAGACTGCAGGCCCTTTTGAAGCTATTGGTTTAGGAAAGTATCTCTTTGGGTTTAGAGACCGCCCTTTTTCCTAGGGTTTGAGGTCTCCATTTTGGAATCTTCCCTGCCTCCTTCAGTATAGAGAAAGAAAGCTTCAGATGTGCTGTTAGTCAGGCAGGTAGCTCTGAAAAAATCATTGTAAGTACAATTGAGGATTGAGTTATATAGATAAAGAAGCTAATTGAGATAGATAGATAGATAGATAGATAGATAGATAGATAGATAGATAGATAGATAGATAGATAGGCAATTGAGATATGAATGAGTAATATTGGGTCTAATTGAGATAGATAGATAGCAAGTGAGCAATTGAGTTATATGTATTGTCGAAGGCTTTCATGGCCGGAATCACTGGGTTGCTGTAGGTTTTTCCGGGCTATATGGCCATGTTCTGGAGGCAATTTTTTTCCTGACGTTTCGCCTGCATCTATGGCAAGCATCCTCAGAGGTAGTGAGGTCTGTTGGAACTAGGAAAAAGGTTTATATATCTGTGGAATGACCAGGGTGGGACAAAGGACTTTTGTCTGCTGGGGCTAGGTGTGAATGTTTCAGCTGATCACCTTGATTAGCATTCAATGGCTTGGAAGTGCCCGGGGGGAATCCCTTGTTGAGAGTGATTTTATGTGCCTGTTTGTTTCCCCTCTGTTGTTTTGCTGTTGTGATTTTTGAATCCTTTAATACTGGTAGCTAGATTTTGTTCATTTTCATGGTTTCTTCCTTTCTGTTGACTACAGAAAGGATGTCAGACTACACAGAGAAGCCATTGAAATCCACAAGCATGTGGACAATTTCAACCCCTGCGGTACGCCCAGACAAAGAGAGAAGCACATCTTAGTTTTGATTTTATAGGATCTGGGTGTGACAGCACATTATACATGGCTATCATGTCTCCTCCCAGACTTCTCTTCTGAAGGCTAAACATGCCCAGCTCTTTAAGCAACTCCTCATAGGGCTTGTTCTCCAGACAAAACTGGATAATTAATTAAATCCACAAAGTTAAACTTGCAAGTGTAAGAGGGTGACTGGATAGCTGCCAGGAACCCTGAATTGGTGTCCATATGTGGCAGACAACCCGACCTTCTTTTATTGCCATGCTGTGGAAAATTTCTATGGAAAATTTGCTTATTTTTCCTGGCAAGTGATCAGAAATTATCGGGGGTCATTTGCCCATGAAGAGTTATTTCTTCCCATCCGGCTGGCAAACCCAAATGTTGTTGTTTCTGCTTTGGTTGAATAGTTGGGTGTTTCATCGGTTCCCTCCCTGTTTTATTTGCTTTGCTGCATATCAAGAAGGACATTTTTATGCCTGCCTGTTGTGTACCTCTAGTTTTGTGAGTCCTGGCGTGCATATACATGGTAGAATTAATGTATTGTCGAAGGCTTTCATGGCCAGAATCACTGGGTTGTTGTAGGATTTTTCGGGCTACATGGCCATGTTCTAGAGGCATTTTCTCCTGACGTTTCGCCTGCATCTGTGGCAAGCATCCTCAGATGCAGACGAAACGTCAGGAGAAAATGCCTCTAGAACATGGCCATATAGCCCGAAAAAACCTACAACCCAGAATTAATGTAGTTTGACACCATTTTAAGTGATCTGTTTCAATGCTATGAAATCCTGAGAGTTGTAGTTTGGGGATGCCCCAGCACACTTTGGTAGAGAGGTTAAAGAGATTGCAAAACGCCAACTTTTGCGATCTCAGTGGCATCAAACTGCATTCATTTTACAGTGCAGATCAGGCATGGGCAAACTTCAGTCCTCCAGGTGTTTTGGACTTCAACTCCTGTGAGCCCCCTTTGGGGTGAGAAGGATGGAATATAAATACTGTAAATAAATAAATAATAAATAATAGACAGTGGGTTGTTGTAGGTTTTTTCGGGCTATATGGCCATGGTCTAGAGGCATTCTCTCCTGACGTTTCGCCTGCATCTATGGCAAGCATCCTCAGAGGTAGTGAGGTCTGTTGGAACTAGGAAAAGGGTTTATATATCTGTGGAATGACCAGGGTGGGACAAAGGACTCTTGTCTGCTGGAGCTAGGTGTAAATGTTTCAACTGACCACCTTGATTAGCATATAATGGCCTGACAGTGCCTGGAGCAAACTTTTGTTGAGAGGTGATTAGATGTCCTTGTTTGTTTCCTCTCTGTTGTTGTGCTGTTGTAATTTTAGAGTTTTTTTAATACTCTTAGCCAGATTTTGTTCATTTTCATGGTTTCTGTGAAGATCCCTTACCTTGCCAGCCTGGGTGGCAGGGCCTAGGAGAGGCAGGCTAGTTAGTTTCAGCCTTAGAAGGCCTGGCAGAGGGCAGCAGGAGCCATTTTAGTTTAGGGAAAGCTCCATTTCAGAGAGGGGGAGTGGCCTAGGCCTGAGCCAGCCTTAGAGCAGCCAGGATTGGTTTATTAAAGGGGGGCGGAGTTAGACTGTTTGGAGGGAAAGAAAGAAGCTTTTTTTAGTGAGTCAGTCTGGTTGGTGTTAGAGTTAGAGCAGGATTACAGAAGTTTTTAGGAGTTCATGTTAAGAATAGGCAGTTTGCCTGAAGTTTGCCAGCGAATTAAGCTGTGGCAAACTGGGTACAGCTATTTAGGGAAAAATAGCTGGGTTTTGTAGTTTGTAACAAAGAAAGAACCATTCTCATGCAACCGTTACGCTTTTCAAGAACCAACACATTTCATCTGTAACAGCCAAGCCTCTTAAACAGCATTTACACTTTCTTCTGTACTATATTAAATAAACTTTCCTTGTTTTTTTTGAAACCTAAGCCTGAGTCAAGTGTACATTTGTGGATTTAGTCCCTTTTCCTTTTAAATCAACCTCACCTGTTTTCCTTCAAAGAAGCTATTTAAAAGACACAGTACTTGGTGGTCTAAAAAGCCTGTTTAATAGTTTAACCAGCTAGAGGGTTCCTGTTCATTCAGTTTATGGTGGCAGCGGAAGATTATTAGTGAGACAATCCCCTCAAACGTTCTATAGGTGCCAGTGAAGTCTTTATATTGGAGGGACAGTGGTGGGATTTGTTTGACCCCCCTGTCCAGTTATATTGTTTGGCCACACGGCATGACTTTATAATTGGTGGCAGAGGTGGGATTCTTCGTTCCCCCTGCCTGGATATCCCTACAGGGCCTTTATAATTGGTGGCAGCGGTGGGATTGATCGTATTGCCATCTGCATATCTTTATAGTTTCCTCCTTTCTGTTGAAATTGTCCACATGCTTGTGTATTTCAATGGCTTCTCTGTGTAGTTTGACATGGTGATTCCGGCCATGAAAGCCTTCGATAATACAAATAATAGACAATTCCCGAAGCTGCTCCTCGTAGGACTTGATCATTTGGGTTGCCCTTCTCTGGACACCTTCCATCTTGTCAATATCCTCCTTGAATTGCTTTGCCCAGAACTGGACACAGGGGTATTCCAGATGAGATCTGACCAAAGCAGAATAGAATGAGACTATTAGATGCCTCAACCTCAGCAGTATACTCTGATTGATGCAGCCCAGAATTGTGTTGCAGCATTACACTGTTGACTCGTGTTCAGCTTGCGGTCTCCTAAGACTTCTACATGCCTTCTGTGTGAAAAAGATCTTGGAGTCCTCATGGACAACAAGTTAAACATGAGCCAACAATGTGATGTGGCGGCAAAAAAAGCCAATGGGATTTTGGCCTGCATCAAGAGGAGCATAGTGTCTAGATCTAGGGAAGTAATGCTACCCCTCTATTCTACTTTGGTTAGACCACACCTGGAATATTGTGTCCAATTCTGTCCAATATCTTGGAAGAGACCTCCTGGGCCATCCAGTCCAACCCCATTCTGCCAAGAAGCAGGAATATTGCATTCAAATCACCCCTGACAGACGGCCATCCAGCCTCTGTTTAAAAGCTTCCAAAGAAGGAGCCTCCACCACACTCCGGGGCAGAGAGTTCCACTGCTGAATGGCTCTCACAGTCAGGAAATTCTTCCTAATGTTCAGAACAAATCTCCTTTCTAGACCTTGGAGGTGTCTATGGACAATGCTGGCTCTTCTGCTTAGAAATGGAGATGAGCACCAACCCTCCAGAGTCAGACACGACTGGACTTAATGTCAAGGAAAAACCTTTACCTTTACCTATGTAGCAACTTGTTCCAGCTTGTCAATACACTTCTGGAACTGTGGTGTTAGACAACACCTGCCAATACCTCTGGTTGAGGATGATGGGATTTGTAGTCCAACACACCCAATATGGAACTGCTGAGAGGGAGACATGTTTCCAAGTTTGTCTCCAAAACTCTTAAAAGGGAAATCACCCCATTTGCAAGCCATGTGTTCCTCTCTCTCTTTCTCTCTCACCTTGGGTCGCTTCCACTGGATCCCTTGAATCCGCGACTTGTAGAAGAGGGAGTCATCGTTGGCTGGGAACAAGGGGTCCTCGAAGAGCGCTTTCCTCCTCTGGCAGTCCTTCTTCAAGGCATGGTATTTCTGGTTTTCGTAAGGCTTTGCGGAGGAGAACATCCTTCCGGCTGACCTCTGGAAGGACAGAAGCACAAGAGAGGACTCCCATCAGTATGAGACAGAAGCACAAGGCATTTTGCAGGGAAACAAGGATGCAGCACACGCTTTGCATACCAAAGGTCCCATCCTGCCAGCTGTAGTTACAAAGAAAGTCTCCAAATAGCAAGGAAAGTAATGCCATCTGCCCAAAGCAGAGGATATGAATTAATGTTAGCCTGAGAACCAAATTCAAATTCAGAAAAACTTTGGAAGAGGAGAATTATATCCTAGCAAGACATAGCGTCTGGTTTATTTATTTATTTAATTTTATTTTATTTACAGTATTTATATTCCACCCTTCTCACCCTGCAGGGGACTCGGGGCACATTACAATGTACATATACATGGCAAACATTCAATGCCATAGATACACAACATATATAGACAGACACACAGAGGTTATTTAACATTCCAGCTTTTTCATGAGGGTATTCTGGCCACCAGGGGAGCTGTCGCTTCACCTTCCATTTGTGACACTGATGAAGTACTTCCTCATTCTTTGCATGCTTGCTGGAGATTTTTATGGCATTGTAAATTGGCCTCCCCACATAAGCGGTACCTAAATTTCCTACTTGACAGATGCAACTGTGTTTCGGGCTGCATTGTCACATCCATTTGTGACACTGATGAAGTACTTCTTATCAATCTGGGCCTTTCCTTCTCAAGCACAGAACATCAGTTTCCTTTTGTGTTGCATCCCAGATCAGGAAACGAGACCATAAGATTAAACCCACCACACTGGACTGTGGGAAAAAAACAATCCTTTTTATTGATGAAAAATGGTTACAAAAGAAAGGTAAATGCAAAGTCAAAAAGCCACAGTAGAAACTCAGCAGTCATGAAAATCTCTGAACTAGAGCAAAATTCCAAAAGCCACACAAAAACCTGGAACCTGTTAGCATCTCACTAACCGTATTTGAAAACTAGAAGCCTCTGGGAATGCAGGCCATGGAACACGGGAAATCTGCCAAGGTGTTGCCTCAGTCTAAACGATGCTTGATCTAACGACAGCCCGGGGAGAAGCCCCTTAAACCAAAGAAACTTCTTCCTTGACTCCAGACTTTGAAGCCTGAGCCTCCCTTTCCCTTAATCTACTTGACCTTCGCAGACCCTGGGATTCACTCCTGTTTTTCCAAATCTGTTCTCTTTGATCCTCACTAAAAAACCCAGGTGTGAGTTCCTCTGGAGAGCTATCACTGCTTGGTTCTAAAACATTCTCATCAGGAAGTTTAGTTTCACTTTCCCCGCCACTGGCCTCAGAATCAACAGTTTCAAAACCATCAGGGAAAGATACATGTTCAGAGGCCTGTTCAGTTGCATCAGGAAATACAATTAGAGAATCAGGTTCAGGTTCACACAGAGATTGAGGCTCAGGTTCGCACGGAAGCTGAACCCCAACATTTTGAGACATGTCCATTCAAGACTAAGACTGTACTTTTAGGACTTTCAGCAAGGACTTAGGGTGCGTCTAGGAGAGGTCATCCAGAGTTTTGTAGTTTGGTGCCATCTCTACACAGAGGACACCCAACTCTACTACTCTTTTCCATCTGAATCCAAGGAAGCCCCTCGGATACTGAACCAGTGCTGCTGCTGTGACAATCTGGATGAAGACGAACAAGCTGAAGATTAATCCCGACAAGACAGAGGTCCTCCAGGTCACTCGCACGTCTGACCGGGGTATAGGATGGCAACCTGTGCTTGACCGGGTTGCACTCCCCCTGAGGACACAGGTCCACAGCTTGGGGGTCCTCCTGGACTCAGCGCTGACACTTGATGCTCAGGTGTCGGCGATGGCTGGGAGGGCCTTCGCACAATTAAAACCCGTGCACCAGCTGCGACCGTACCTCATGAAGTCTGATCTGACCACAGTGGTCCACACCTTAGTAACCTCTAGACTGAACTACAGTGTTCCCTCACTTATTACGGGGGTTCCATTCCAGGACCACCCACGATAAGTGAAAATCCACTAAGTAGGGACGCCATATTAATCTTAATATTTATACATTATTTTATATATTTTATATATTATTTTCTTACCCACGCTCCCTTACCTGCCTCTTAGCCCATCCCAAGGGCACCCGCCTGCGGCCCTGGCCTCTGCAGAGCCTCTGGAGCCACGCAGACAACAGCAGGCCAGGGAGGCTTCCTTTGCTCTTTTGTTCCATCCTTCCTTGTCTTTTTCCCCGCCACTGGCCTCAGAATCAACAGTTTCAAAACCATACATGTTCAGAGGCCTGTTCAGTTGCATCAGGAAATACAATTATTGTTGTCTTTGTCTTTTTCCTTCCTTCCTTCTCTCCCTCTTTCTCTCTTTCGTTCCTTCTCTCCTTCCTTCCCTTTCATTTTTTTTCCTTCTTTCCTTCCTTCCTTCTTTACCTTTCTTTCCTTCTCTCCTTCCCTACTTCTTTCCCTATTTCTCTCCCTCCTTCTCTCCTTCCTTCCTTCTTTCCGTGAATGTGTTTTGTATGTGCATATATGTGTGTATATATTTCTATATATATGTGTGTGTGTATATATGTGTGTGCGCGTGTGTTTGTGTACATATGTGATTTTGAGCATGCGTTGTAATGTATTTCTTTGTTTTTTTGGCTTTTTAAGTCCCTTCTGTTGTGTTTTTCAGTGTTTTTATGAGTGATGGTCACTTGTTGGTCTGACAGGTGTATTGTGTCCAAATTTCATGTCAATTTGTGCAGTGGTTTTTGAGTTATGTTAATTCCACAAACAAACATTACATTTTTATTTATATAGATGATCATCATAATTATTATCTATTCTGTAGAATTAATGCAGTTTTGTCACCACTGTAATGTGATAGAATTACGGGAGTTGTAGTAATATGAGGTCTTCTAACTACAAGTATTGGTGCCTCACCAAACTACAATTCCCATGATTGCATAGCTATGTTCCATGGCAATTATATCAGTGCCAAACTAGGAGACCTCAGTAGCGCAGTGGGTTAAACCCCTGTGCCGGCAGGACTGAAGACCAACAGGTCGCAGGTTCAAATCCGGGGAGAGGCGGATGAGCTCCCTCTATCAGCTCCAGCTCCTCATGCGGGGACATGAGAGAAGCCTCCCACAAGGATGATAAAACATCAAATCATCCGGGCGTCCCCTGGGCAACGTCCTTGCACACGGCCAATTCTCTCACACCAGAAGCGACTTGCAGTTTCTCAGGTCACTCCTGACACGACAATAAATAAATAAATATTTTTTTACTCTATTTATTATTATTATTACAGTTATCATTTTATATTATTATTATTATTATTATTATTATTATTATTATTATTATTACATGACAAAAAAGTGCCAAACTGCACTAATACTACAATGGAGATGCAGCTACTAATAGCAACACGTACAGGTGTAGAATGGATGATACCTGGCTTGAAAACACTCCATGCGAAAGGAATCTAGGAGTTTTCAGTAGATCACAAACTGAACATGAGGGAAACGTGTGATGCGGCAGCTAAAAAGGCCAACACAATTCTAGGCTGCTTCAAGAGGGATGCAATAGTATCACTTTAATCTGTGTTGATCAGACCTTTGGCAACCTCTCTGCTTAACATGCAAACCCACGGCCTTTCATAACTGTCCTGATGATGATGACAGCGTTTAATAGAAATCGTTGAGCTTGCTGGCTTAATTTCTTTCTTAATTAATTAAAAAGTCTTCCTGGAGTCACGCCAATAACTTCTTGATTAATTACTTTTGATGGATAGCAGCTGGCACCGCAGGTCCAGACATGACTATATCTGGCCCAGAGGAAATCACGATTCCCCACTAACGTAACACGGGAAACCACGTATGGAGGAGAAGGGGGGTTGATTATTTTTATAGATGCAGGCTGAGTATTGCTTATCTGAAATTATTGAAAGCAGAAGAGCTTTGGAATTTGGAATACCTGGATAATGAGAAATCTTGGGAGATGCAGCCCAAGTCGAAACACGAAAATCACTGACGCTTTCCATACACCTGATTACGCATGGCCTGAAGCTAATATTATGCACGATATAAAATAGAGATAGTAAGCGGGAAAGGGAAACGGTATAGCTAGTGATACCAATGTTGTTCAGGTACCTATATTTATGTTTCTTTTCTTTACTGTAGAATTAATGCAGTTCGATACCACCTTAACTGCTACGGCTCAATGCTGGGGAAATGTGGAAGGTGTAGTTTTACAAGGTCTTTTGCATCCTCTGCAAAGTAGTGCTGGTGCATGTTGTTCAATTAGATTTATCCTTTCTTTTCTATATTGTTGACTTAATGCAGTTTGATACCACTTTAATTGCTATGGCTCAATGCAGGTAAATATGGAAGTTGTAGTTTTACAAGGCCTTTTGCCTTCTCTGCAAAGTAGTGCTGGTGCATTGTTCAAGTAGATTTATGCTTCCTTTTCTTTACTGTAGAATTAATGCAGTTCGACACCACTTTAAGTGCCACGGCTCAATACTGAGGAAACATGGAAGTTATAGTTTTACAAGGCCTTTTGCTTTCTCTGCAAAGTAGTGCAGGTGCATGTTGTTCAAGTATATTTATGCTTTCTTTTCTATATTGTAGATTCAATGCAGTTCGATACCACTTTAATTACTACGACTCAATGCTGGGGAAACGTGGAAGTTGTAGTTTTACAAGGCCTTTTGCCTTCTCTGCAAAGTAGCGCTGGTGCATTGTTCAAGGAGATTTATGCTTCCTTTTCTTTACTGTAGAATTAATGCAGTTCGATACCACTTTAATTGCTACGGCTCAATGCAGGGTAAATGTGGAAGTTGTAGTTTTACAAGGCCTTTTGCCTTCTCTGCAAAGTAGTGCTGGTGCATGTTGTTCAAGTAGATTTATGCTTTCTTTTATATACTGTAGAATTAATGCAGTTCGATACCACCTTAACTGCTACGGCTCAGTGCTGGGGAAACGTGGGAGTTGTAGTTTGTAGTTGTAGTTGTAGTTTGTAGTTGTAGCCTTCTCTGCAAAGTA